CCACGCCTCCTCACTCCCCAGCATGGCGGTGACCACACGAGGGAGCGAGAGGTCGCTGCCAATCACTGCCACCAGTGCACGGCGGGGCACGGCCCACGATGGGCACACCTCCATGGTGTGCTCTGCAGTGTCCTCCGCATCTCCACACTGGTGGCACGACGGGGACTCCTCTCTCCCGATCCGGTGCAGGTACGATCCGAAGCAGCCGTGCCCGGACAGCACCTGCACCAGACGAAACGAGAGGGAGCCATGTGACCGACTGAGCCAGTCTTTGAGGACGGGCCCAATCGCGTCCAGCGTCCTTCGACCGAACGTTGAGGTGGCGAGGTCCTCTGTCCAGTGTTGGACGACCGCGTCCCTCGCCTCCTCCTGAACGGCTCCCCTCTCAGCGACGCTGGGGCGCTGGCCAAGCGCCCGCTGCTCCACTCTCCACTCGTAGACTCTGGCGAGCACCCACGCCTCGAGCTCCCAAGGAGGGGTGCCCGCCAGAACGCACGCTGCCGCGAGGCTTACCGTGCGGTAAGCCCTCGCCACCCTCTGCGCAATAGCCCTTTGGGGCCTCCGGAAAGCGGCTGCGTTTTCCCTCCTATGGAGGGAGTCCGCCCAGATTGGGGCCCCGTAAAGGGCCATGCTTCTAAGTATGCCGGCATATAATCGCCGGCATCGATTCCCGGGTCTCCCAAGATTTGGGAGGAGCCAGGATAGGGCCCCCGCGGTCTTCAACAGGCGCGTCGTCAGCCCGCTAAAATGAGGGCCGAAGCGCCACCTACTGTCGAGTATCAGGCCCAAATATTTCATCTGGGCCTGTACCCCGATGCGGACGCCCCCCACAGATAGGTGAGCGTCGGGCGGTTGGCGTTGCCGAGACCTATGGAAGAAGACGGCCTCTGTCTTAGATAACGCCACCGTTAGCCCCAGGCGGGAGATCCTGTCAGCTACCAAGGATCCTCCCGCCGAGGCCAGGCTGGCCGCCGACTCGAATTTTCTCCCCCGAGCAGTCAGGAGGGTGTCATCTGCATAGCAGATGACAGACGTGCCTCGGGGGAGGTTTCCTCGCAGGAGCCAGTCGAATCCGATGTTCCACAGGAGCGGTCCTAGAACAGAACCCTGTGGGACGCCGGACTCGACGCTGTACCGCCGCAGTCGGCCCGCCCTATTTGCGACGAGGACCGAACGGTCCTCCAAATAGTTTGCTAGGAGGGCCCGCAAGTATGAAGGCACTCCATGATAGCGAAGTGCCTCTAGGATGGTGGAGTGGGGGATGGAGTTAAAAGCGTTAGCTATGTCAAAGGACACGGCCAACACTCCATCTCCCGCTTCCATCGCCTCGCTCACCTGATCCCTCAGACGGGACAGGGCGTCCAATGTCGAACGCTCAGCCCGAAAGCCAAACTGAGCGTCAGACAGGTCTGGGCCAATTGTGCCCAGATGGTCCTTGAGGCGGGTGGCCAGCATCCTCTCGAACATTTTACCGACCTCATCGAGTAATACGATGGGTCGGTAAGCCGAGGGGGAGTCCACTGGCCGACCCTCCTTTCGTAGAAGGCACAATTGTCCCTCCTTCCATACCTTCGGGAACCTTTTGGACGCCAGACACGCTCCGAAAAGGTCACGAAACCTCGAGCCCATCTGGGAAACGGCGATGGCCACCACCCTCGCAGGGATGCCGTCCGGCCCTGGGGCCGTCTTCTTCTTGCGGAGGCAGGCGATCGCCTCCTCCAACTCCTCCTCCGTAACAGGGGGCACCTCTTCCACCGTTGGGGCCACACCGCGCGGCGGGTTCATTGTCGGAGGGGTGAACCTGTCCCTGCGGGGAAACAGGGACTGTACCACCCCATCCAGCAGCGTTGGCTCGAGGGTCTCGGCAACTGGGGGACCGTACGGGCGCAGCTTGTTCCGTGCCGCTTGGAACGGTCTCCCAAAAGGATCGTTGTCGAGACCCTCCAACATTTGCGATCTCGCATGGTCTCGGGCGGCGGCGAGTCTCACCTTAAACGCGTTTTTCGCCTCTACGTATGATGCGTAGAGGCGATCCTCCATGGCGAGATCGCGGGAGCGCCGCCGACGGCTCCTTGTGTACTCTCGCCTGGCCGCCACACAGGTAGCCCGAAGGGCTGCCAACTCTTCCGACCACCAGTACACAGCGCGGCGAGGAGGCGGACGGTGGGACCGAGGCATGCTGGAATTGCATACCTCGGTCAAGGATACCCTCAGTTGGGCTGCCGCGGCGTCCACGTCCTGGACGTTGACGGGCGGCGTGAGCCAGTCCTGGACGAAGGCCGCCTCTTTGGCGGCCCTCTGGTCCAGGCGGGTGAGCGCCCACCGCGGGAAGGGTGACTGGCCCCTCGAACGGTTCCTACCCTGGGAGCCCTGGTCGGAGATATCGAATCGCACATATCGGTGGTCCGATAGAGTCTCCGTCAGCTCCACCCGCCAGTCCACGACACAGGCAGCCAAGGAAGGGGTGGCGAAGGCGAGGTCCACTATGGAGCCCCCCTCTCGCCGCACGCAGGTGTGTACTGTCCCTCTATTTAGGAGGGACAGATCTGACGCCACCGACCACGACTCCACCTCGCGTCCCCGTGCGTCCGTGCGTGGGCTACCCCACGCCACCGACTTGGCGTTGAAGTCGCCCACCACCAAGACCCGGCGTTGCGCTGCTCTGTTGGCCACCATGGCGAGGACTCCGAGGAAGTTCTCAAAGTCCGTAAGAGGGCGGTTGGGGGAGAAATAAACCCCTATTAGGGCTATGTCTCCCCATGCGGCAGCCACATATCCCGGCCCCTTCTCTAAGAGCGAGATGGGGGGGGAGTCTGTGGAAGACCGCGCAACCAACGCCACCAAGCCATTCTCGTCTCCCAGCCATCTGCCAGGGACTGAGTACGGCTCGGCAACAACCGCCACGTCCACCAACCACTCTGCAAAGGTTTGGACCAGCAGGTCTTGGGCCGCTTTGCAGTGGTTGATGTTCGCCTGGAGAATGCGATAGAGCCCGGCCATTAATCGGTATTCATTGCATTCCCTTCGGTGGCCGGCACTGGGGCTGGGATCGCAGTGGCGGCGGCAGCAGCAGGCCGTGTGGTCACTTGCGCTTTTCCTTTCTTTAGGGGAGGACGGCATTTCCTACCCGCCATAATGTGGTCGGCTGGACGACCACTGTCAGCGCACACGGCGCAGTGTGGCTTGGTGGCCTCACAGGCGGTGGACTTGTGCCCCCCCTTGCCGCAGCGGAAGCACAGGTCTGTGCGCTCCGCATCGCACGGACAGAGGGCCCGGGTGTGACCGATGCCGAAGCACTTGTAGCATCGCATCGGCTCGTCCTCAAGAGCCCGGACACCAGCAGAGCTGAAACCAACCGGGAGGCGTCCTTTCGCCAGAACGGCCTTTGCAGCCACGACTGGGCACTCCAGTCGCAAGCTGCCCATGCCCCCACGGCCAGGTCTGATGGCGCGGCCCTTAATTGCTGCGATATCGCAGCTCCCCAACGCCGCGACTGCTGCCACGACCTCCTCTTGGGTGACCGAATCGTCGAGATCGGTCACCTCTAGAGTTACGCACTTCACTGGCCTCGCGACTTTGGCCGTGTCTGCGATTGTCTCCTTCAGTTGGTTGGCAAAGGTGTCGGCCTTGGCGCTGCCCTGAGCCCCCGAAAACTCGAAAATTCGGGCCCCGGTTTGAGTCCGTCGGCACGTGACCCTACCCTCACCCGGTTGCACAGGGTCGATATTTGCACGAGCCCGTCGCAACACGGACTCGTACGTCTCCCCACGTGTAACGGCTTCCGCTGTGAGGGTCACCACTACGGCCGCGGTTTTTGGAGGAACGAGCTTCCTCCTCTTTCCCGCCGGTGCTTTATTGGCTGCCGGGGACTCAGGTACCGGCTTTTTCCCCTTTCGCTGCTTCTTGCCCACCACCTTCTTCCATGGCTCGTTGGAGGGTGTGGTAGAAGGCAGCAGGGCATCTTCCTTTACAGGAGCTTGGGCGGGCGCTGGGGCAGCGCTGGCTCCCGCCTGTGAGGTAGGGGCCGAAGGGGACTTCTTTCCCTTCCCCTTCCCTTTGCCTGCCTTCGTGGCCTTGGGCTGCTCCTTCTGCGCTGGCGCTACTTCTTGGGGCGGCGGTGCAGTAGAGGTCCTGCCGAGTGGAGGGCGGAGCCTCTTCTCCGGTAGCAGCCGGTCCTCAATGCCTGCGAAGCAGGCTTTTGTAAAGGCCCTCTCCTCCATGACCACCTTTCGGATGATGTCCTCAAGATTGGAGGGTGCCGCCGCCACCGCCGGACCTTCCGAGGTCCCTTCGGACCGGGCCATAAGCTCGGCAATGCGAGCGTGCAGCGCAGACATCTCCTTCTGCAGGCGGTCAACTTTCGCCTGCAGTAACCGCGTCTCGTTGGACGTAGTGCGCTGCGAAAGTTCTTTGACAATGCCCATTAGGCTGGCTGCCCGACATTTGAGGGCCTTTTGGAAGGTCCCCTTTAGGTTTGAGGACTTGGAGGCGACTTCAACAATCTCCCCCTGGTCCTCGAGAGCCATGCGCTCCATCTCCTCTACGGAGTGGTCCGCATAGCGGACGGTAGGTGCTCCATAGCCAGCCTTAGCTCTGGTCGTCCGCGTGACCTTCTCCTTAGAGGCAACCACTTCCTCTAGATCCGCCTCTACTATTGCCCGTTTTGCGGGTGTCCTGGCAGCGTCGGGAGATCCCCCGGACTTTTGTCGCAGGAATCGCTTCCTGGACTCGCGGCGGATCGAACCACAATCTGACACGCTCATCACGGACTCGGTGTCCGAGTAGTCCGTGGTTTGGCCCACACTACGAAGGCTTGCCGCCGACGGTGCGCGGCTAGCCTCAGACGCTGATGCGTCCCGTGAGTGGCCCTGAGAAGGGCCTTTGGTTTGGCCCTGAGAAGGGCCTTGGGGTTGGCCCTGAGAAGGGCCTGTTGGGAGGCGCCGTCTGGAGGCGGCCCTCGTTTGTTTGGAACTCATGTTCACAACCAACCACAGATCACGATGGTCGCGAAGGATCACCAACCACTGGCCACTGCGTTACCGCGCACCAAGTGGGATGGGATACCTTACGATTTCGAAGCGCAGACTATTAAAGCTTCGAAGCACAGTGTTCGTTTGCCGCCGGCCTGCCACTCCGTTACGGTGGTCAGGCGCGACGTTGCCCAGGGGTCACTACGAGGAAGTCAACACTGTGGGGGGACCCCCGAACCCATACACATAGCCAACTGTATGTTGGCCTGTCACGTGTCGGAGCTCCTGAAAATCGATTTATTTAGCTGCCATAAAATAAAACTACTCCAAATATCGTTTACAGGGAAGCTCTGACTCACTAAAACTAATGGCTTTTGTTTTGTAGATAACATGATATTTGTATAAAATTTAAAAATAAAAAATACCAAAAAAAAACATTAATAAAAAAAATTCAAAGTTCCTTAATAATTTTTTTTGAAACCCGACGTAAAAAAGAAGGGTGTATGTGTGTGTATGTACCCGTGCGAAGCCGGAGCGGGCCGCTAGTTATATATAAATACTGTTTATTTTGTTCTTATTGTGTGCTCGGAATCCCAATAAAAGAAAAACTAAATATTGTCATACACACTGAAGCAAATAAATATATGTATGTACGAAACAAATAGAAAGAGGAAAATTATTTGTATGAAAAAAATATATCTCAGAAAGGAACAAACATATTCTAAACCCATTAAATCTAAACGAACACTTCTTATTCAGAATAACTTTAAAACGATCCTAACGCTTAACGGTGTCTTGAATACAAAAATACGTAGATTCAGTAAGGAATATATACTTTAAAGAGAGCACACTATTAAGTTAAAGACAGAACTAAATAAAGTTGATCTCCTTACCTTAATGAATTCCTTCTGTGTACCTGGATCTATAAACTTTATACTGGTTATATTATTTAATGATCGAAATAGGAAATCTATATGAATTTATAAAGTAATAGAAATATTAAAAAGTTGCAATATAATAGCCTATCGAAGCCCAGACAAAGGCGACTTTTCACATGGAGAAGGTTTGAGCATTAATCACCACGCTTGCTCAAGACGGGTGATTTCAAACTTATAATTTATAATAATAAGTCTAGGCATCCTCACAATGAGGAAAACATTACAGCCTGTCAATTTTATCTATTATTACATATGATTCGGAAAAATCACTTTATTATTTGCAAGGTTTTGAAACCCACACCCTCCAGCACTAAAGGCGGGCCTCTAACGTCTAAGCCACCACGACTTACGAAAAGTAAAATTTATCTAAATACATCTATAGTTTCTGAACTATTTAACAAAAACTTAATTCACAGAAAATTAACAATTATCGTATTTAAAGAAATAGTATTGAATTTCATATAACAATATTTATTGTCACTTATTAATATTTATTTATATTCTCATACATTTCCGTCCTCATTCCTCAATGACTTGACGGTGGAAATTAATAATGAGGAATTGTTGCGGTTTGTAATCAATATCACTTCAATGATATATCAATTAATATTAATTGTATCTCTTAAGTCGACTTCATTATTTAGTTTGTAGGACGTTATTTAGTTATGATTGAACTCATTTCATAAAAAAGCTTATAGAATGGTGTTTCAATGACGAAAATTTGTGACCATTCAATGTATTCACCGTGCCAGTGGCGGGTCTATCGTTGCAGAGAGAGGAGCTTCAAAAGCGACTGGGACTTGTGACTCAGGTGTAGGTTTAACAGTAATTTGAAAAACATGTAAACAGTAAGCTTGTAGTATAAGTTCTGATAATCTTGCTTGTCCATATAAATATTTAATAAGCTTTTATTTATAGATGTAGGTGATTATTATTACGTTATTATAATAATAAAATAAAATAACTTTATAATCAATTATGGAACAAAGCAATGTCGGAACAATAGTGTGTGAACATTATCCCTGGGCCTCGGATCATTCTATCAGATTTCCCTCTTCAATTATAAAACTTTAAATCAACAAACATTATTTATTACAAATCCGTCGCCGTAAGATAATTTGTTCTCACATTTTACGTCTTATTCAATCTGATAATGCTGTGTCGCTGAGTGATGAGCTCTGGTGTCACGGGATTTGTGTTCTTTACAGAAAGTAAACTACAAAGATGATAATGAAGTCTTAAGAGTTATTGTGATTCAGGAAATTAATTCGAACGTTAAATATAAAGAACGTTTTAAAATTGTCGCTTTGACTTTTATTTTGTAAATTATGCACGGGTTTTTATTTTAATTCTGATTTCTTTGTATTTCTTAAAGACTCTTTTGTAAATATTTTTCTCGTTACATAAAACCTTTATAGGTTTTTACAGTTTAAAGATTAACAAGTTTCAGAAACTGAATCTTTCACTTGAATGAATTTTAGAAGACTTGAATTCTTTAGTTTCATAACTAAATTGATTAAAACCTTTGTTGTATCGACAGCAGTTAAGTTATTTTAAAGTTATAAGATTAGTGGTTTTTATATAAAAGGAAACATATTTTGGAAAAACCTTAGTAGGAAGCAACCACCTGCTTTCTGCAAAGGTTGAAGTTGAGCTATGAAAACAGAGAAAACGTTAAAAAACACTAACAAAACCAATTACAAACAGGTAACATTAATGGAGTAAGTCCGGTCTTTGCCAGGACCGGCCAGTCGCTGGTGTGCCCTGTTGCTGACAGATCCGGGGTACACCGACATAGCGGCCGATGGCTTTCGCAGTGGTTTTAGTGAGTAGGGGCCTGCCCAGGCCGAGCCTCACACATCCCTTCCGGCCCTACCAAGGCCGGTTGGACGGCTCGTAAAAAGAGTTTCCACTACGTCATCAAAAACAAAGCAGGTAACATTACAAGTAATAATTATAAAAACACAATTCCAGTTCTTTATTATTAAAGAATCTTTAAGTAGCATGCAAAAAAATTAATATAAGTATTTGAAGTTACCCAATTAATTATATTCGTCAATTCAAAATTCTACATGGACTAAAATCTGAAGTTTTTCATAAGATGTAAACAGTAATGGGTCCAGTCTCATCATCTTGGTGGGAAACACATAAGAAACAAATTAGAATTAAACATAGTATCTACACAATGCCTCTTTAAAAAAGGATTTTTACAACGAAAAGTGTAGAGTGGAAGGTCTAAGAAAGATTTAGAAGGTTACGTTTACGGGGACCAAGCGATTACAAAGTTCCAATAAAAATAAACTATCGTAGTTAAGATGATAAAAAAATACATTACATAGAGAATTAATACTTAGTCATAGCAATATACCTCTATGTTGACACTAATTTAAGTCTTTTATAGAATTATATATGTATAAATACGTTTTATCTAACATTTCCTATTACAAATGAAATCCTGTTATAAAATAGTCATGACATTTATCACCTTTTTTCAATGTTCTTACTTCCTCAAAGTGCATTTTTCTTCTGAATACAAAAAATGTTCTTCAATTGTTGTCTAAAATAATTTAAAACAAATTGTCAAATATATATTAAAATTATTCTTATTTTTCGTGACCCATCTTAACCGTTTCTTATTCGGATTATTACTTATGTAAAACAAATTAAAATTTTAAGTTCAAGGATATATTTCCTTCAGAAAGTGTACGATTTAAAAAATCTGTAAAATATTAATCAAGATCTAATTGAAAAGCTAAAAATAAATTCTATAAATATTAAAATTTTATCATCTACAATATAAATTCTCTAGAGTGAATTATCTTCCTCTACAGTTCAAAGCCTATTTATAATGTCTCTGAAAACTTCCACGAAATTACTTTAAGTTCGGGATCCAAAATTAACCGTAGTGAATAAAATTTAAAGTTGGCTGCTATTTTAAAACTTAACCTGAATACTCATCAAGATGTTTATTGTTCAGAATACTATAAGACAAAAAATAAATCGATTTCAAGCAATTTGAAATGGAAAGTGCACACTGAACCAAGCCATTTCTTTAAAATCCAACTTTATGTCACTTACATAAAATAAATACTAGGACCGTTATAGCATTATATAGAAATTCAACTGATGTGAATCAAGTCTCTGTTATCAATAAATACGGAAATTAATTAAAAATAATTCCCACGCAACGTGTATAAGGAAAACAATGTTCTTACATACGTATATAATATACGATATAAAAATAAAAAGGACTCAAAATTACTCCATTCTTTTACCAAGTTAATTGGGAGTTTTAAATTTTAAAAGATATTATTCTTCATTTAAATGTTTTATAATTAATTAATTAATTTGTATTTAAAATAACCAACTAAAATTCCGATTGCATATCAGCCTGCTTTTCAGACTAGCCTTTCTTATGTTAGTTAAAATATGTGTTATTTTCGAAATGGAGAAACAGATCTCATCGCTACGGATTCAACACATTAGGCAGGAATCAATTTTTGTTTCATGGTTATTATTCATATAAGCTGGAATAGATCGAAAGTTAAATGCCTCATATTTTATTCACAAATAATAAAACTATTATGTGAATTGACGTTGTTTGTTAAGGAAATTAATTAATATAATAAACCCTTATTGCATAAAAAAAACAATTACAACCATTTTAGTTACTTTGAATACAAATTAATTTAATATTTCAAATCTGATACATATTTAAAACAAAAGAGGGTTACCAAAATATTAGGTCATTTTAAACGGTTGCAAGAATGAAACTTTGTTACTTAGTAATACTACTTCTATATAATAGTCCACTTATTATATATTATATTACAAATAATACAATGGCTACACTAACAACAATACCAACAAAGCAATTCGCTTTTTCAACCCGATCTGGTTTCTTTTTACAATTGACATCTTTAAGCTATTGATTAAATTTATTAAAGTACTAAGCTGAACTAATTTTTAGTTAACTTTGTTATTTTATAATGTGTCATAATTAAAATGTTTATTTTAGGTAATATCGTGCAAGTGCTTAGCAGTAAGTAAAATTAAAGTATGTTGCTTGAATTGTAATGACCGGGTATATAGCCAATAATTAAAATATCATCTCTAGAACTTCAGATTTGACGATCAAAAATACATTATTAAACAAGATTAAGTCCAATACAAATATTTGTCAACGTCTATTCCCAAAATGACAGGGGAGAAAGTTCAAGAAGAAGACTAATATGTGTCAACGTTATACATATGTGTGTATAATTGGAAATTAATTATTGAAATTGGTATAAAGATCGTGTGTCCTAAAATGAAAAGCATGTATTTTACTATTATTTTATATGTTTTATCAAATATTTCGTTTAGTTATTTAAATAATTTATAGCTAAATTCAACTGGATTTCTGCTTTTGATATC